ATGAAAAATCATCCACTGAGAACCCTGTGGGCACAGTTCTCCTCTGACACACACGGGGCACCAGGAGTGGGAATTGACTGGATGGCAGTAGAATTCCAACAAAGAAGCGGGGACCTCAGTTGACCCAGCTTGGTCTTATCTTGTGTGGTGTGGAGGGCCAGTGGGGGTGTGGGTGTGGGGGGTGGGAAGCCTCGCTGACCATAGACCTGGGGGCTGGAGTAACTTCATCAGCAATCTGTAAGCAAAGTGGAGCTTCTTTCTCAAAGAGGCTCTCTAAGACACTTGTCCCTAAGTGGTTCTGAGCAGGCTCCGTTGGACCCGTTTACACAACTCATTGGCCTCAAGTGCTTCCTTCTAGAAGAGACAAAGATGCAATTCGGCATGACTGAAAGGCTGATGGAAATGGCTCTAAGTGGTGATGGTTGTACAATCTGGTGAATGTCACGATGTCACTGAACTGGTACAGAAAACACAGCAATGTTTTGTGAAGACCCTTTTCCACAATAATAATAAAAAAAATAAACTAGGAAAAGTGAGATTTCAGAGACAAAAAAATGCTGATAAAAATGTGGTTATTTAAACAGAACAGTATTGAAGCATTTTTGTTGGTTTATAGAATCAGTATCTGCTTAAATACAGGTTCCATAAAGCAGGAGAATTGGTTAATTTCTTAGAGGGAAACAATAAAACAAAAACACTGAACAAAAGCAGAAGTGGGTCAGGGAGAATGTTAAGGGTGATGGAAAAAGAAATTGGCATCAGATAATGATGTCACCTTGAGGACTAAGGTGCGCCTGACCCAGGCCATGGTGTTTTCAATAGCCTCATATGGATGCGAAAGCTGGACAGTGAATAAGGAGGATCGTAGAAGAATTGATGCCTTTGAGTTGTGGTGTTGGAGGAGAATACTGAAAGTGCCATGGACTGCCAAAAGAACCAATAGATCTGTTTTGGAAGAAGTGCAGCCAGAGTGCTCCTTGGAGGCCAGGATGGCTAAGCTTCGTCTCTCATACTTTGGACATATTGTCAGGAGGGAATCAGTCAATAGAGAAGGATATCATGTTTGGTAAACTGAAGGGTCAGAGAAAAAGAGGAAGACCCCCAGTGAGATGGATTGGCCAGGTGGCATCATTGATGGATTCAAGTGTGGCAGCAGTAGTGAGGTTGGCCCAGGATCGGACATTGTTTCGTTCTGCTGTGCATGGGGTCGCTATGAGTCGGTTCCGACTCGATGGCACCTGACAACAACAACGAGGCTGATGTATGTAGTTAATGTCACCGAATGTTATATGTAAAATGACGGAAATGGCAAATGTTTTGTTACTGTGTATCTTTTTGTTGTTGTTGTTAATGTGTATCTTTATTTAATACAATACAAATTAAAAAGAAAAAACCAATTCCCAAAAAACGAAGACGAGACTCCAGCTTGTCCCTAGGTGGCTGTGAGCAGGCTCTTTGTGGACTTGATGAGTCTCATTGTTTAGAACAAGCCTTCTTTCTAGATAGGGGAGAAGAAGTTCTGTTCTGCGGAAGGACACCCAGTTTTAGTTGGAGGATGAAAAATAATGGTGAACGGCCAGAACGCCACAGGTAAAAAAATGTTAACACTATGTCCAAAGTCTGAGAGACGAAGTTAGGCCATCTTTTTTTTTTTTTGGTCAGGGCCAGAATCCTGGTGCGGCTCTTTAGGATCAGCACTGTACTAGGAACCACAAGATCAGCAGTTCGAATTCACCAGATGCTCCTCAGAAACCCTAAACAGGGATGCTATGAGTTGCAACTGACTTGAAGGTACTTACTAACAACAGAAACCCCTCATCCCCATCTGTCTGTACGTCATTCTGTAGTGGCTGGGGTGTTCCTGCAATGCTGGGAGCTATGCCACGGATCTTTCAGATACAAGCAGGGGTCACCTGTGGTGGGCAGGTTTTGGCAGAACTTTCAGACTAAGACTAAGAGAAAAGGTCTGGCAATCTACTATTGGAAATCAGCTAAGAAAAGCCGCATGGATCATAGTCTGATAGAGTGCTGGAAGACACTCAGCAAACACAGTGGCTGCGAACGTGGACCGGGCCATGGTTTGTTCTGCTGTACACGAAGGCACCAGGGGTCAGAGCTGTCCCAGTGACCACGAAGCTCTAGAGGACGGTGCTTGGCGGGGGGGTGGGCCTGATGTATTCCTGCCTTCAGGGTGGGGCTGAAGAGGCCCCTCTGGTGAGGAGAATGATGGGATGCAGGGCTCCCTGACACGGCTCACTGGGAATGGGAGGCCCTAAGGTCCCGGTGTGGCACTATGGGTTAATGCGTCAGACTGCAAAGCCATTTGAAAGGCAAGATTAGTGGTTCAAGCTCACCCAGTCACTTCTCAGAAACCCTATACAGAGTCGCTATGGGATGGAACTGACTCGAAGGCACTTAACAACAACAACAACAACAAAGGCTACCTCAGAGGCCTTCTCAGTAGAGATGAAGGCTGTCAGGGCCTGGACGAAGGGTTTTATCTGCTGGAGCCCTGCAAAGCCTTGCTGTTTAGGGCTCCTGTGGATTTCTTGGTAAGGGTCCTGGTGCCCCCTGCCTGATCGCTGACCCACCCTGTCTGCATCTATCAGACCAGAGCAGGTGCCTAGAATCCCATCTGAGGGGGCAGTGCTCCATAGCTCTCAGGAAGTACCAGGCAAGGATAATCACTGGAGTCATTGTCGTTAGGACAGGCAGGACAGTGGGTTCAGACACATCAGCACGTCTCATTAGAGAAGAATGTCTTCATTAGCATGACACTCCACTAAAGAATGACCATGCAGTAGGTTCTGACGCCTAACAGCCCCACGGTCCAACGGAATGAACCACTGACAAGATTCGTCCCTTGTCAGATACGCTATTGCCAAACGTTGTCTTCCCCTCTGTAGCTTCCCTGTCTACTCTTTTGCACATGTCTTTTGATGTGCTTTAGTGGCTCATTTTAGGCAGTTCTGGTCATCGAGTTTATTTTCTGTTGCTTCTGTACATTGATAAACTATTTACTCCATAAGAGCTATGGTGGCACTGTGAGTTAAGCGCTGAGTCGCTGATCGAAAGGTTGGTGGTTCAAAGCCACCAGCCTCTCCATCAATGAGAACAATGAAGCTGTCTGCTCAGTCTCAGAACCCCTATATCGGGTCACTAGGAGTCAGAACTGGCTGAGTGACAATGGGTTATTTATGCCATAAATCAAGGCTCCTATTTTATCTTTGATGATCTGTATAGTTTCAGATTTTACATTTAAGTCTTTTGGTACATCTGGAGGTTTTTTTTTTAAAGTTCTTTATTGTGAACTGAGTGATAGTTTACACAGGAGAACATCGGCTTTATGCCATCGTTTCATTGAAATGATTAAAATCTCCACAATGCATCTTCCTTCAACAGTAGTTGCTTCCCTTCCCTCTGTTTCTTTCTGGAGTTGGCTTTTGTATAAAGTATGAGGAGGCCTGGATTTTGTTTCATTCTTTGGCAAATGGAGATCTAGCGTCACCAGAACCATTGCTGCAAAAGCTGACCTTTTCCCTACTAGATAGATTCTAGCCCTCTGGCAAAGACCACCTGTCCCTAGGTGAATGGATTCACTTCTGGGTTCTCAATTCTGTTCCACTGGTCTACCTGTTATTGAACCAATGGAGTTTTTGTTGTTAGGTGTTGTCAAGTTGGTCTGACTTATAGAGACTCGATGTACCACAGAAGGAAATATTGCCTGGTGTATGTCTTTGAACCAGTGCCAGGTTATTCTGAGTCCTGCTGTTGTGTAGTAGGTATTAAGATCGGGGAGTGTGAGGTCTCCTACTGTGTTCTTCTTCAGTAATGCTTTGCTTATCCAGGATCTCTTTCCTTTCCATAGCAAGTTGTGATTCCTTTCTCTCCTTTCTCTGTTCACCCCCTGCCACATTTCTTTTAGGAACTGGATCACGAATGCACTGCAACTGTAGGTCACTTTGGGCAGTATGGACATTTTTACCATATTAAGTCATTCTTCTCAATGGAGAAAAGATTGAAGTTGTCAAGGACTTCATTCTTCTGGGATCAACTATCAACACTCAAGGAAGCAGCAGTTAGGAAATCAA